ATAATATCTTGTCTTAAGGAATATTCTTATTGTTCAGTACTTTCTGTTTTATAACAGAGGAATGTGATGTCAAAACACTAATAATAACACTTAGGGCTATATTCTGGTTAGAGCACATAGGAAGAAGACAGAATGAATATTCATATCTATGACACTCTGACCTGAAGGCTACTGTAAGATCTTTTCATGAAATTCATAATTTACTGTCATTTAGTCTTTTAAAATCTTAGTAGGAGATCTTCAGTTATAATATGGATAAAGACCCAGGTTTTGGGAGTTGTAGGAGAACTTATAATACTTCCTGATGGCTTTTTTCCAACCCAAAACACACCCTTTCTAGAGGCTCTTAAGAAAGTCTCATCAGAGCAAGCCATTCCAGAGTCTTCTGTCTATTTTCCTACAGGATTTCTAGAATGAGATGTCTTATTCCTTGGGGGAGTGGGAGAGTTTTTTAGACAGAATGAATGTTGGATAAGTGAGGAGGTCCTGAGGTAACAGGGAAAATTCATTGGAAATTTGTGGTTTCTGATGTATGTATGATCACCAGAGTTATTTCTGTGTAAAAGTTTTTTCCTCTTTTGAAGACCAGGCTTTTATAAACAATGAGTATTATATGTTGGGCCCAGAGCTTTCATACTTTTTTCCAAAGTAGGTGTTTTCTCTGAGTTACAGAACAAGATATCAACAAAATTATGAAATTATCTGCTTCCCTACATGATATCAATGAATTGAAAAAGAAGTGAGGAAAAGAGTAAAGTTTAAAATATTTTAATCCTCAAAAATTGTTCAAACAAGACTTTCTTTATTAGTCTCCCAGCAGATATGAAGACTACAATGACCCTTACATCTATCTTATTTTTAACATAAGGCTAGCATTTGCCTTAGGGAAACTGATATTCACAGGATGTGTTTCTCAATGGAATTAAAGTTCAGAAGTCAGCAAAAATTTAGGGAGACGGAAATACTTATGAGCTAATTTGTAGACTCTCTTCTACCTGCATGCAGCACAAAGCTGTCCTTGATGAACTATTCTCCACAAGAAGGATCTTTATTCAATGGAACAGAATTTTGAAGGCACTGGGGCCTACTGACATGGTACACCTAGTCAAAAACTAGCAACATGTGTGCAGGAGAATTGTCTGTATTCTGTCAGTCATGTTTTATTTTATATTATTTTATTTTATTTTTTATGAGAAAGTAATTTTATTAAATAATAAAAGTTTCCATTTCTGCCCCTCCTGCCAACACACTCCCACTCCCCCCACTCCCTCTCCTTTTCCCTCTCCATCCCTAAGAGCAGTCAGGGTTTCCTGCCCTGTGGGAAGTTCAAGGAAATCAGGACTGCAAGGGATGCTATCACCCACTGATACAAGGGGAAGGATCTAATGAGAGTTTACCAAGGCCAGTTGGACTGGGACAGAACGATGATGCGATCCAACCAGATTCTCTGAATGTGGCTGGATTCTCTGAATGTGGCTGGCCCGGAGTTTTTCTGTAAAGCCAATGACAATGACACTGGGACTTGTTTCCTCTGCATATACTGGATTTTGGGGATTCAGTCTGTCTGGACACTCACCTTCCTGGACCTGGAGGGAGGGGAGAGGAACTTGTCAGTCATATTTTAAATAAATACTGATTTGCCAGGCAGGAAGTATTAGTAGGACAACCAAATGGGAAGTAAAGGTAGGGCAATGAGTACAGGAGAATTCTGGGAAGGAAGAAGCCCATTCCTTCCCAGTCCTGCCAAGATCACTAAAGAAGCAGGTTGTGATCTGCCCTGCTGAAAAGATACTGAGCCAGGTGGCTGACATAGATGAGTAATGGGTTAACAAAAGCAACAAGATCTAATATAAAACCTGACCTAATGGGCCAATCAGTTTATATTTAATGTAAACTCTCTGTGTCACTTTCTCAGGAACAAATGGCCAGGGAACTGTGCAGGAAATAAACAAACAGGCCTTCATGATATTGAATGGTATCCACATGGATAACTGCATCCATAGAAATCCTGAAAAGGCATGGGAAAGAATAGAGTAAAGCATATTTTCTTGGGGGCAGGAATTTCTTGGGTCTGTTCTGTTTGCTAGAGGCAAACAAGTGCTCTCATTTAAGAGAGGCTTTCTGACTCAGCTTTAGCTGCAAAACATTGCAGCTCTTTTAAAGTGGTCCTGCCAAGAAACACTTAAATGATGTTGATATAAAGCTGACTACATGCTTTTCAGTTTTTTGCCGTAGCATGAAAAAAGTTGTGCTCTTTTAAAATGCTGGCTTTCAGGGCTGTCCTCCCAGGGCAAACTCTGAGTCTTTCTTGCAGGCGGTTTGACTATGGAGCATTTGAGTATGGTTTGTAAGCACACTGTTGCAGCTTGCTTCCTGGTAGAGACCTTGAAAAGCTGTAGAGTTGGGGCAATAAGCATGGCTCTGTCCGGTACCTTTGGCAAAATGCTGGAATCTCAGAAAGCTAAGACATGGTCTGGATGCAGTTGTCAAATCCCCGGCTTTGATTCTACCCATGTTGCTTGGTAAATTAAAGACACGTGTGTTCATAAAAAGAGAGATGCACAGTTAAGAGAGATTCAAAGACAAAGGAAACCTCTAAAAGGTTTACTGTGTACTTAAAAATATGTGCAGTCTTGGGGAAAAAAGGTTAAAGTCCTTTAAAGAAAAAAGAAAAAAAGAGAGTAGTTGGGTGTGGTGGTACATACTTTAATCCCAACACTTCAGAAACAAAGGTAGACTGACTTCAAGGTGTAGTACCACACACCTTCAATACCAATGCATGGGAGGCAGAGACAGACAGATCTCTGTGAGTTCAAAGTGTGGCAGTGAACACATTTAAACCCTGCACTGAGGCGGCAGAAACATGGAAGATGATTTTGAATTCAGGACAACCTGGTGTACAGTGTGAGTTCCTGAACAAAGATACACAGAAACCCTGTCTCAAAAAGCCAAAAATTAAAAATAAAAGAAATAGAGTTTAAAATAAAGCCACCTAAGGATGGAAAACACACAGAGAATCTTGATACTGTATGATATTATGCTCTCTGTGAAATGTTTGAATGCTGAAGAAGGAGCAACAGATGCTAAAAGATATTTGCTTATAAATGAGTCTAAATTTACCCAAGATAGGTATTTTGAAAATACCTTAAATTCAAACTTGAAGTCAAAATGTATGTTACTTTGGAGAAGAGATTGTGCTTTTCTTTCCACAGGAAATGAGAGGCTGTGGGTTCATTCTGAGTCAAGACAACTCAGGTTTGACCAAAGAATACTACCTAAGAAATCTCCAGTAGGAACAGATGGTCTAAATGTCTGAGTTCTACATCCGGAACATATTCAAGATGCTGAGAGAAATTATCAAGACTCTCAGGACACCTCAGTCAGGACCTGACAAATTTTTATTAAGGACCCATAAGATTATCACCGCCCTTAACTAGCTGTAATTGCCAGGAAAACTATGCCCACATTCTTTAAAAATCCACAGGATTTGTTTCCTTTGTTTTATAAAAAAGAGGGGGAACTGGTGCAGGAGAATTGTATGTATTCTGTCAGTCATGTTTTAAATAAATGCTAATTGGCCAGGAAGGAAGTACAGGTGGGACAACCAGAAAGAAATTAAAGGTAGGGCAATAAGAACAAAAGAATTTAGGGAAGGAAGAAGCCCATTCCTCCCCATTTTTGCCCAGATCACTAAAGAATCAGTATGTGATCTGCCCCACTGAAAAAGTTACTGAGACATTTGGCTAGCATGAATAAGAGTAATGGGTTGATATAAGCTACAAGAGCAAATGAGAAGCCCGAGCTAACGTGCTAATCAGTTTACATCTAAAGTAGAACCTCTATGTGACTTTCTCTGGTACTAAATAGCTGGGTAACTGGGCAGGACATAAACCCTAGCAAGCAGGCTCTCCTGTTACACAACACTAGAGAAATGATGAAATTGCAAATAATTCTGGCTGAGATTTATCTTCAGTCAATTTTCCTGTTAAATCCATGCCTTTGAAAGTGTATATGTAGATATTAAATATGGTCATAAAAGTGTTATAAACCCATTTACTCACTTCAAGTACCATGACTACCTCAATGGCACAATCTATGTCCTTTGTTGTTCCTGGGAAGATTACATTAAATAAAAGAGTTCTCTATAAAAATTTTAAATATTTTGGGAGTGGACTGAAAAGTATTAATGGAAAAGAAGTAGTAATACAAAGCTCGTGGGATTTTCAAAAAACTATCTATATTAAACCCTTATACTTCTTCATTTTTACAATTGTAATCATTTTAAGTGTCTCTTCAATATAAGCAACTCAAATTTTTGTTGCTTTTCTGTCATAGAATTCAGTACTATCACTTGTGCGTTTAGTAAAAGAAGTCACATATTGTATACAGTAGAGATGTCTGCATACCCATCTATGTTTCAGATCTACTACTAACATGCAAGGTACAATAGTCAGTACAGCTGCACACCAGAAGTGGATGGGATAATAATAGGTGAAACTTATGTGGATTGAAATTATGATCAGTCATATAAAACAAAGATCACGTGTCTTCTGGAGGTAATCTAATTAAATTGCATACCATCATATTCAGGGAAATAAATCCAGTCTTAAATACATGGTTGGCACTGATGTTTCAACTACTAAAGAGGAAAACATAACAAGGCTAGGTTGATGTATAAGTGTAGCTATTACATCAGATGAAGGGGACGAGTGAGGGAAATACATGGTATACAGGGTATTTGTGCTAAGTGACTCATACATATTTGAGCATTGCATAATATTCTTAAAATAGCACATGCTAACTGATAGCTTGTAGTTGTGCATAATGAAACTCTGTCTCTCAAGCAAACAATCACTAAGCAATCTTTGTTATGACCAAAAACACAGTCAAAATCTGCTTACAACAGGATGACCCGGGCATCAAAGAATAAAAACAACATAACAGGAGCATATCAGGAAGATCATAGAGTCAGTTATAGAAGAAAAAAAAGAACTCATGAGTACTAACAGCCATATTGTACTTTATTCAGGAAATGAAATCATGGACACAACAACACAAACAAGTAAACTCATGGTTTTGGAAACATCCTCTGAGTGCACAGGGTGGAAGCAACTGCTCATCACTGAGCATCTGGGACACTGAGGTGGTGTGGAAGGAACAAACTCAGCCACCACTTGACAGCAGAAGAAGAACAATCTCAGGGGAATGCCCTCACTCTAAGGGATCATCACAGACACATGGACCTGTAGGGTGGACAAAATTCTTCTGCAGCCATGACAGACTTTAAAGCAAAGATGTACGTGTTTCTGTGGAAGTGGGGGAAGATAGATTTCCTCCTCTTCTCTTGGTCCTGGTGACTGCTGCAGCACTCGCATGTTCTTCTGTAGGCACTTCTGCTGGCAAGGTGGATGAGGTTGCACAGGAGCACAAGTCCACTGTCATGGCTGAGGGGGGCATGGTTGTGGGCACTTTGGAGGAGGACAAGGCTGTGGGCATATTGGAGGATACAAGGCTGTGTTCACATTCGACGATTACAAGAATATGGCCATGTTGGAGAAGTATAAGGACCAGGACATATTGGAGTAGAAATCTGTGTGCACACTGGAGGAGGAGTACAAGTCTGTGGGCATGTTGGAGGAAAATAAATCTGTGGGCACATTGGAGGAGGACAAGCCTGTGGGCACTTCAGTGGTCGAGAAGTCTCAGAAGACTTTGTGGGTGAGCACACAGAAGTCTGACTTGGCTGCTGGCACTGCTGCTCTTGAGAAGACATTGTGCTGAAGTCTCAGGATCTGAAAGACATTACATGACAGTATTAGGGGTGATCGTCACTGAAAGGAAAGATGGAGACATGGAACGTCACATCCACTTCTCTGTCCACACATGTACATATTCCCCAACCCCAGTTGTGTGACAGCCTGGAATTTCCATTTCCTGTCAGCAATTTGTGGCACTAGCCTTGTGTAGTAACTTTAGTTTCATGCATTATTCCAGGATAGAAACACATTATTTCAGTGAAACTAGGCACCTTGAACACAGAAATGCATCTAAAACAGACAGCTTCAAGTTCTGGAACCCTGAGGAATATTGATAACACATTCCTGTCTCTATTATCACTAGTGACATCCCAGGTTTTGTGGGGTAGCAGAATAAAGGACAGCTCAGGCAAGTCCCAGGTTCTGATCTCTGCTAATGTCTAGGGTTCTGAAAAGGACACCAAAAGATGCATGTGAAAGAGAAAAATCCTCTGCTCAACATCCTACCAAATAAAAGGAAAAGCCACGTTTCACCGTGGATCATTGAATCCATTATTACATTTCTGATTGCTAAGTTGTTGCTATTCTTCCCATGAAAACAACTGGACCCATCACTCTTAGTCCCTCCAAACTGACAGGAGCAAATAAGCAGACCATAAAGACAGACCAACTCAGGAAACACTCACCAGGTTCTCCAAAGGAGTCCAGGACTTGAGCACCAGGAGTCTGCAGTCACACAGTCAAGTGCCTCTTTATATGACTGGCTGCCCTGCCCAGTGTGACTAGAGCTGTTATTGTGGGCAGGTCCAGGAATTTCCCATCCACAATGAAAATCCATTTATGACTGACTTAACAGGGACCATAGAAAATAGGAAATGTCTTGTTCCTGGACACCATTGCTGTAGAGCCCTGTGACTCAGTGGCCACTCCTGTCTTTTCAGTTTCAGCAAGATCTCCCTGGTTTTCTAAGTTGTCTTTCTAGAATGAAGTCAATATTTCTTTTCTTTGTTACACCTCTCTTATGTCTTGTTCGTTTTGTTTAGTTGACTGATATACTGTGTTGCACTGGCACATTTATATTCTTGTTTTCTAGGTATAATTTGCCTGTGTTTGGAATGGAGGACAGTAGTACAGGTGACTCCAACTGTGCTCTCAGCTGCATGTTTGAGAAACCTCTTTCAGGAGACTAGTCAGGATCCCTGCCTAGGTTAAATTCTTTCTGTTACCTTAGAAAGTCAAATATGTTGCTCATAGGGGAGGCTGCTGCGCTTAAGGGATAATCAGACCCTATTCATGTCTGCCATCTCAAATATCATATTAGTCGTATATATTAAGACTCCACTCTGATGATAACTATAAGTCTGCTTATCATGACGATAGATGAACTAAAATTACACCCATCATAAGGAAGCATGATCTTTCTTGGATATTTGGAATAAAGGCCACAATCTCTCACACTTATTTTATGAAAAATCATTTTTGAGCACACCTTGGCAATGATACACACCAAGGTGAGTATCTGCTAGAATTTAAAAAACAAATAATATACTAAATCTCAATATGCATCACATGTACTCAGACCGACACTCATGCATGCACACTCACAGGTGGTACCAGTCTGACATTTTTATCTGCCACATAACTACTAATATAACTTCTTGATTCTCTAATGTTTGTTAATGAGATATTCCAGCATGAAAACTGGCAGATATCATTAAAAGTTGTGTGTTTTGTCATTGTTGGTTGGTTTTAGAACACTTTGAGGGAGGCATAGGGTCTGAGCACAATAGAGGAGGACAAGGCTCAGAAGAGGTTGAGGGTGGATATTGCTCTGAGCACATTGCGGGTGTGCACAAAGGAGGAGGCAGGCAGGGCTGCTTGTGCTGATGATGATGGTAAGATATCATGCTGAAGTCTCAGAATCTGAAAGACATTTGCCTGAAATGGTGATTCCTCAGAATGGAAGAAATTTCTGTTTATGAAATATCAGAAATCTTTCTCAATCCCAATTTTGGCTCCAGAGTTCCTGCATTTCCCATCCATGTCACCCTTTTGTGTCACTGGCCTGGAAATGCAACATTTTTCTTCACAGCTATGGTAAGATAACATGTTTCTCCAAGGACGGAATACAGCTACTTGCAAGAAACAGCTTCTTCAAGAAGGCACTATGAAGTTTAAATGTGACATACTGAGTTGTCACAGTGATGACAGTAATCTCTGTTATTGCTCTCACTCATGATTTCTCAGGAACTTGACTAGAGTACAAAGCAACACCCACGTCAATTCAAGATAATAGAAACTCCTAAAAGTAGACCAAACGAGTTCAGAAAAGGTAAAGTATTCTCTTGTCCTGGAAAGTAGAGTATTGTCAGAGGAATAAGAATAAACTGAGGAGCAACAATTAGTAAATAGGACCTCCTGAAACAGAGAAGTGTCTTTAAACAAAGGAAACAGTGAATAAGAATATATATATATGTATATATATATACATATATATATATATATATATTTGATAAAATTAAATAGTGCTCAGAGCAATGTGTCAGCAGTTAAAAGCAATTGATGTCAGTGTCAGTGTCAGAGCCCAAAAATGGAGGCCCGTATTCCACATTGTGTAGCAGTCAGAGAATCTGAATACCTTACACACATAATTTAAACCTTCCACACAGGAGGTGATCACGTTGTTCTTTTGTAGGAAAGAAAACTTATTGACATCCCAATGAAAATATTTTTATTTATAGCTCAAAATTACTTAAAAAATTAATCCACCTGCCTCTATTGCATAAGTGCCATGATTATGAAGATGAGGCACCACACCCATAAATCATGTTTAGATGATATCACTTCACAGTACAATACCATATTTATCCCTGTGGTCCTGAAAATTGAAGTATTGTCTACCCACGTAATAGGATAGATGTTGACCCATTTTCCGAATTAATTCTTCTTCAATTTTCACATTAAATACTTTCTTTCTGTGCTGGAAAATTGGGCACATGGTAAAATGAGATAAGTATTTGTACATCTTTTAGGGATGTAACAATAAGCAGTATAAAACTGTAATATCATTCTTTAAGTGATATTTTATTGTTAAGTGCATTCTATTTTAGGTACCAAAAATGTGTTGGAAAATCATTAACAACATTGAGGGCAATGCTCTGTTTAGAGCTGATAGAAAGAAGACATAATGAATATTCAGATGTAGGAGATTCTGACCCAAAGGCTACTTAAATGTTTGTTTCATGAAATTAATAATTTAGTATAATTCAATCTTTTTATGTTTAGTAGGAGATCTCAAGATATAACTTGGATAATGAACTAGGATCTGGGATAAGTATGGAACTTATAATATTTCCTGATGGCTATTTCCCAATCCCAAACACACCATTTCCAAAGGCTCTTAAGAAAGCCACATCACAGCAAGCCTCTCCAGGGTCTTCTGCCTATTCTCCTCCAGGATTTCCTGAATGAGATGTGTCACTCCTTGTGAAAATAGGAAATATTTTAGCCAGATTGAATGTTGGATATGTGAGTGGTAACTGGGGTAACAAGGTAAGTTCTTAGGAAATTTGCCATTTCTGATGTATCTATAATCAACAGAGACCTTTCTGTGTAATGTTTACTCACCCTCTTTTGAATCAGAAGCTCTGATAAGGAATGGGTAATACATGTTGGACCCAGAGCTTTCAAACTTTGACTCCAAACTAGGTGTTGTCTCTGAGTTTCAGAACATGATAACAGCCAAATTATGAAATTCTCTGACTTCCTTCCTGGAAACACGGAACAGAAAAAGAAGTAATGGAAGCATTAAAATTCAAAATATTTTAATATTTCAAAATTGTTAGAAAAAGGCTTTTCTCATTAGTCTTCTGGCAGTTGCAAAGAATACAATTACCTTTATATCTTACTTATTTCTGACATTATGATAGTATTAGCCTTAAAGAAACTGACAATCACGGGAGATGTTATTCAATGGAATTCCAGTTCATAATTCAGGAAAGCATTAGAGAGACAGAAATCCATGTGAACTATTTTGAAGTCATTTTTCTAACTGCATGCAACACAAAGCTGTCATTCATGAACTATTCTTTACAAGAAGGGTCTTTAGTCCATGGAACAGACTTTAGAAGGCACTGAAGCATACTGAAATGGAACACATAGTCAAAAACTAACAACACTGAAGAAATGATGAGATAGAAATGAATTCTGGCAGAGTTTTGTCTTCAGTCAATATTCCTGTTAAATCCCTGCCTTTGAAATGTTTATGTAGATATCAGAAATGGTCATAAGTGAGTTATAAATGCATTTACTCAGTTCAAGTATTAGGACTACAATCATGGCATGACCTTTGGACTTTATGGTTTTTGTAAAGATTACATTAAATAAAGGACTTATCAATATAAATTAGAAATGGCTTGGGAGTGTAATTAAAACTATTAAGGGAGAAGAAGTAGTAGTACACAGGTGGTGGGAATTTTTAAAATGCCATATTCAAGACTTATATTTTTCATTTTTAAAACAGTAACTATTTTAAATGTTTCTTAAACATAAACTATTTAGATTTTTCTGTTGCTATAAAGTGACACTATAAATACGGCAACCTGTAAAAAAATTCGTTGGGCTACTAGTTCAAGAAAGCACGTCCCTATATGATGGAAGCATAGGAACAGACAGGCAGTCATTGTGCTGGAATAGTTGCTGGGATCTTGCATCCTGATCCAAAAGCATGAGATAGAAAAAGAGAGAGAGACAGTAATCTCTCTCTCTCTCTCTCTCTCTCTCTTTCTCTCTCTCACTCTGTGTGTGTGTGTGTGTGTGTGTGTGTGAGTGTGAGTGTGTGTGTGTATTGTGAAGCAATTTATGTAGGCTTTGAACAATAGGTCAGCAGTTAGCAGTAATTGTTCTCAGGATGTAAGAGATAAAAATTGCAGGTCCATATTCCACATTGTCTAGAAGTAAGAGTACATGAGTTACTTCTAGACAAAATTTGCACCTTCCACACAGGAGGGGATCATGGTGCTTTTTTGTATTAAAGCAAATGTATTGTCATCCCAATGCACTGTAAGTATGAGGTGACCTAGGAAAGAGGCATGTTCAGATCAATGTGACCTAATGGACATAAGTAATTACAACTGAGTTGAAGATGGAGACATCTACAGGAACATGCCCAAGCTAGGGACCTCCACAGAACCAGGCCCTGGACAGGGACATCTACAGAAGTAGGTCTGGGCTAACAAGCTCCACCGGAGTAGGTCTGAGGCACACTCCACAGAAACAGGTACAAAGAAGCAACTACACAGGGAGCAGGCATGCATCAGAGACCTCTGTAAACCCTAGGGTTACTCATGGATCCTGAGAGAGCAGACCCAAGCCGGAAACATCTGAGGGAACAGGCATGAGCTAGCTACCTCAACAGGAGAAGGACCAAGGCAGCAACCTCCACAAGAGCAGGTTTGGTCCATTGATGCCCACTGCCAGATACATGTGAGCCCCTGCTGATGTAGGAGTCCTGAACATGAGACCTTTGACAAACCAGGTGTGAATCAGCAGTCTCTGAGGTAGGAGGCCTGAGCTAGAAACATTTGTTACAGTTGACCCATACAACCAACCTTTGCCAGAGCAGGCACAAAACAGAAACCTTAGCAGAAACAGCCCCGAGTAAGCAATCTTCGTACCAGCAGGCCCAAACAATTCTCAGTATTGCAGAGCAACACCTAGTAGCACAGAGCGTTCTCCAAGAGAGCAGAGTTTCCAACAGTGTGACTAGAA